AGGAAGGCTGAAGGGGAAACCTAATTAGTTTCATTAGTTAGAGAGGACTAAGAGAAGCTTGTTTAGATCACTAGTTAAAAATGAACTAGAGATCTGGGGTTTGATCACGGAAGGATCAAACAGGAAGGCTATTCACCTCGGGAAACATTGTTTAAGAAAGTGCTTCACCACAGTAAAAGTCAATTACAAGTTGTAACATCCAGAAGTGTGAACTGTATTGCAACCAAGTTACATGTAAAGTTCTCAAAGTATTTCCAAGTTTATCAACAGCCTGCAACCATACGCTTTGTTCAAAATAAACTTGTTCTCTTTTGTTTGAAGACTGCCTCATCTCCATTAATTCTGCGTCCAGTGTGCCATATCTCCCAATAATGCCTCACATCACACATTGGTGGCACCATTAAGAGTAATAAATAATAAATCGTCCCTCCTCTCTCCTAATTCGTTACAATGACTATTTGGCATTCTAACACATAAGCAATGAGGTAACTGAATTCTCATTTATCATATTCAGCGCCACTTGGACAATTTACTTCCTTTTCCAAATGATGACAACGGGGCAGTGTTTGAACTGCAGTAGCAAATGTAACAAGATCTCTACATCTTGTTTCCATTGACTGATCTTATTTAACTCTTGAATAGACATTTAGGGGAAAGTTTTGGGGTGAATGAGAAGAAACAAGCTGAAATGTAATTTAGATACAAAGAATTGAGAGCAAGCCAGCCAGAATATTTTGGAGAGAGGTATTCAACTAATTTAACCAAACAAGAGCAAGTCTGTTTCATTTGAAAGTGCAAGTTCATAACTTGAGTGTCCTCTAGATGTGACACAATCCGGGGAAGCACAGATTAGTGGTGGATATGAGTACCTCTTAGTAAGATGCTATCTATAGTTGTTGCCATAGACTCTGTTTTTAGATCTCAAGGTTTGAAATTTTCTTGCTCTCTTCGTTTGTTTCTTGTGCATGATGCTGACATGCTGTAATATTTTGTGCTTGTTTTAATTTTGTGTGCTATTTTGAGAAATTAATTTTGAAAAGCTCATACATTTTTTAAATAAATAGTGGAAATAAAATTTGTTGCAAGCTTAAACTAAGGAAACAAATCCTGCCAGCATCTATCTACTTTAGGTGGTTTGACAGCGTAAGGATTTCTTATCCTAGTTAGCAGAACAGCAGAGGGTGTCCCATGCATTAAAATGAACACTTTGATAGGAGCATTTATAGAAACAGATAACGGTTCTCATGAAATCACCTGTCCAAAGGGAGAGTTCTTTAAATCTGTGAGAGGTAACTTAAGGTATGTGGACCTAATTTTCTGTGGTGTCATCTACCTCTCAAGAAACCTGTAAGTCTACCTTTGATACTGCCCCTTTGGGAAACACTTTCTAATCTATTGGTATATATATGTGTATGTGTGTGTACGCATATGCCTAAGAGAGTAAGGGTGAATAGGGAAGGAATATGAAGGCACAAGAAAGAAGGTGTAGTCCACATTTAGCTCTGGGTTTCACCACTTGCTACATCCCACAGCCTCTGATAATGAAAGTTTCTCATTCTGCTCACACACATCATAAATCCACAATATCCTGTTAACACTAAGTATCTGTGTTATTGAATAAATTCGTAATACACAAACTCTGCATTCAATAGAAAGAACATTGTATTTCTCTTGATAGCACTTTTGTGGGGGCTATACAATATCTTACATGCAAACATGCATTCCAAACCTGGTTGCTATTTTGATTTTGGAAATCTATTAGGAAAAGCTGTGATTCAAAACAACAGTATGTTTTTTCTTGTCTTTTTTGTTCTAGATCAGAAGATCCCAATCTTTGATCTTCTAAGGGTTTTGGACTTCAGGTCCCGGAACTTTTGACAGCTTGCCAAGCTGGCAGGGGTTTCTGAGAATTGAAGTCCAAAACATCTGGAGGACCAGAAGTTGGGAACCAGTGCTCTAGATTCCTCTTGCAAAGTTTCTGATGCATATTTCCAAATACACATGTGCATACCTATGAAGTAGAGTTCTGATATATGGCTCTGTATGTGCAGAATATCTGCATTCTAGAGACTTCCTTATAAACATATATCATTTTAAAGGATGGTGCAATTATTACAGACCAATGTATGTGTGTATTTAGTACAGAATACCTACTTTATTGTGAGCTGCTTTGAAAGAACTTTGACATACCGTACAGGGTAGAAAACAAAGAAGAAAGATTTTTTATTTAAAAAACCTCAAATTTTAGGCTTTTAAAACCCAAGGGATCTACTCGCCAGCATCCTACTGGTGACATACACAGATACAGCTGGGTATTATGTCTGGATATGGGATTTTTAGATATTGTGCAAGGAGATGTCCCATGCCTCCTTTTGCAAGTATCAGCCAAAGCACAGCCACTCTTTGCCCAGACTCATTCCAGCTGTTTGAGCACCAAGAGAGGAAAACATAGCTGTATTCTGAGCACAGATGTTATTCTTTCTTCCCTTTTTATTCAAAATCAGCTGTAATCAGTGCTTGTGTCTGATCAGTGCCCAGAAAAACAGAGCTCTACTTAGAAGTCTTGCAGAGAATGAGGAACAGCCTTCACTGCCTCCCACAAGTACACTGATCGAGACTTAAGCTCTGCTAGTATTATGGAAGATCTTGAGCAGTACATTGCATGATTACTTTTGCATCAATGGGAGGTCAGACTTAACAAGCTGAAGTTTACTAGCTACAATAAGAGCTACTTAATCTCTTTTCCACCATTCCCTCTTCCTGCATCATTTCTGCTTTCAGCATTTTGGCCTGTCACAAGTCCTTTTGTCAGGCAAGGAGTAGAGAAGGCAATATGGAACTATAGAACTCTGTAGCTTGGGCTGGAATAACTAGACCTATTGACTATGAGCTTTCTGAAAAGCTGGCTTGTGCAGGAGGAAATTTGAATTACATCTCATGAATATGTTTCAGATTGACTAAGGAATCAGTTTGTTTAAGAAGAAGTCATTCTTCAATATTATTTTCTACATTTGAATTTGCCTTCCATTTTCTCTCTGTAGAGATATTATTTGACTTTAATTACGAAACAGCAGACTGTCAGGTCACAATGTTCTTGATTGTATTTCCTGGCTTTAAATGTCAACATTAGCTGTTATCAAGTTTTACCTGTTTTTTTCCCCCTTCAACTCATTTCAATTTACCCTGTGCATTTTGGAAAGGCCTGTACAGCACTCCTTCTCCAGAGAACCTTGTGTCAAATACCTGGCTCAGCACACATAGTCGTGATTAATTTGATCATGCCCCTGAAAGAATGGCTGTAACCCTGAAAATCCTTTCTGCCAAGGACACATTTCTAAAACCAGATTCATCAAATGGATGATGCTGAGGTTGAGAGTGTTGTTATTCCTCTCCAATCCTACTCCAGCAAGGGGCACTGTAAGTACAGTGCCAAGACTTGATGGAGGGGATTTTATCTTTTACAGCACTCATATGTGTCTTTCGCTTTGGTTGGATCAGGGTATATAGCTTTTATGAACTCTCTTTCATGAGATCATTACTGTCTATCCAGTATAGCCCATTTATCTCAAATATTTTGCTTTTACTTCTTTACCGACAAAAAAGCCTCTCCTAAGGGAACCCTGGCTGAAGGCCTAAGATGCAGTGAAGAGCTCTACAGGGAGAATGATTGGGTTACAAAAGACATGCATGAACGTCAGAAGTCTGTTCCAATTCACTTTTCAAAATACAGAACATGTTTGGAAGCACTACTGAAAGGCATCAATGTTTTGTCTTCCCTCATTCAGACCAACATGCATTGTCATTTTAAAGCCAGTATTTACAAATTAATATATGATAGCCTGCAGTGGAAATGTTTAAAGTTTGCCTTAGGTGCATGAATAATCTGTGTCGGAATATAATCTTTCCAATATTAAATCTTCCACATCAAATAGAATGGAGGTCCATTTTATTTTTCCTCCTTTATCAGAGGACACTTAATAGAATAGTTAATTCCTTACATCACTGCCCCTTGTGAGTGAGATTATTTCACAGCAGCAAAGCAGCAACACAATATGCGTGTGACACACAAAAGATCAAAATGATTCCAGCTTGTTTGGCAGATTCAAAAGGGTCTGTGCTGCTGCACCCACAGGAGCATTCATTTAGCAGCACAGAATGGTGACTGTATTTGCATCAAGGTAGATCAAAAGCAGTCAGAAGCTTATAACATTTACATAGGAAGAGGTGGGCAGCTATGGAAACCCAACTGTTGAATTCTGGCAATACATATTCAAGCCAGGGAATAAAGATAGAACAGTGGGTGTATGGAGCAAAAGAACTGGATTTTCTTCTAATATATTTTAGAATGGAAATTATTGGCTTTTCTAAACCTCAGGTGTTTGTAGCAAAGACATTCGGGGCCAGAATATGGCAACTGTGAATGAATTTCCAAGTACTTTTATGCTAGCAGAGTTGGCCTTCAGGAAAAAAAATCCTTTTCCCCCTTAAAGTTTGAGTAATTCTACTGGCATTTGCTTTCCGAAACGATTTGGAATCTTAAGTTTATTGCATATATGCTATGTTTTAATATTTTTAGTGAATGCTTTTCCTGGATCATGATTGCCTTTTGAGACACAAATACAAGGATATTACATCATGTATTTATATGTATAACATGTATTTTTAGTGGCAACATTGTGTTTTTTAAAATTACAGATAATTCCAAAACTAATCTTGGAATGGAATGGGAAAATTCTATTGGTAATGGCACAAAGGTTAGCCAGTAAACACTCTTTGGTTGAAAATGAAATACATTGCAGATGTATAGGCATGGTTTTTTCAAAGTGCACAGTGAATCAGAAAAAGATAAAAAGTCAGCCTTCAATCTGACTTGTTGCTCTTAAAGAATTAAGATTTGTTCTCAACTTCTAAGGGTTCTGATTCACAATATATATGTGTGTAGTTCCAGGAACACTGCAGTAAATGTGTATTTTCTAATCCATCTTTAAACATTTGTATAGGTTTGAAAATGGAGGGAAAATAGTATCTACAATAAAATCCAAAGGTAAGTACGCCATTGTTTGTAATGACTGATTTTGTGATTTTATTGGATGGCAGGGGGTGGGGGGGGGGGAAGAAATTGTCTTTGCTTTCTCCATATTATTTGGTGCTGCTAGGACTACCCCCTATGTCTGCAGAGGCTGGGGGAGGGGGTGCCTGTCTGACATCCCAGGGCCAACCTGGAATACGCCAAAGGATAGTGGATCAATGTAGATGCCTTGTGTCTTGTCGTTAGACTTCGGAACTTCTGCATCTATCCAGTTACTGTCATGGCCAGCAGTTTTTCTAGACTGGCTTGGCTGCTGCTGTTTGGAAGGGGTCAAGCTGACTTTCCTCCCTGAGGAATGCATCACAAACTGCTGTGATTATCTGTGCAGGCTTGATGGAATGAGATTTCTGAAGAAATAAGGGGTCTGTAAGAAATAGTTCTTCGGTAGCATGTCATACTTTGGCACTTGTGTCTTGGACCTCAGCTGTTACCCCTAAGTTAGAACTCTGGACCCTAATCTTTTTCCTGCAATCCTATTTTGGACTCTGTCATTCCTGTAACTTTGTCTTGGAACGTTTTGTGTCCTGAACCCTGGAATCTGAATCTTGTACTACCTTCCTAGCTTTGACTTATGGACTTGGACTTGACCCCCGACTTTCCGGTTTTAGTTTGGAATGCTCACTATGGTTTGTACTTGTGAATTCTGGAATGTTATTCTAAGCGAACTCTTAGTATCTGACTGCAAACTGGATTACTGTTTCTTCTTCTTCCTGGACTGGCTTTGTAGTACTCTCAGCATTAATTGGACTTTCGACCTTGCTTTTGACCTTGCTTTTGTTACCCTAGGTATGTGCTGTATTTCTGTTTTGTTAGTCAGACCTTTGAAAAATTCAAGGTTTCCATTTAGGTAAATCTGGTCTTGACTCATCCTGTATTCCTTTGATAAAAACTCTGCTCTGGTCACTGGATGACAGCTGCTCAGAACATGACAGTTACTCAAATTTAAGAATGATGAGGTGGAAGAACAGTTGGGTGGATAGTTGCTGGATGGGAAGACTAACATGGGATGATGAGAGGATTACAGTCAGATGATGATTCATTTTCAATCTTTTGTATGCGTTCTAATTGCAGTATTAAAAACCATGAATATTCTAAATAGTTGTGTTTTATCGAAGAGATTAATGTTTTGTCTCTCTTTATCCCGCTTTCCTAATCCAGCTTTCTGGGGTGAGTCTGATGACAGCAACTCTGAAATTGAAGCAGCTCTGCGTCCTCAAGTGCATTGCTCACATAATGATGAATTCGATGACTTCTATGATTAAGAGCCAAGAGTATACACATGCACATACTAAACATTTTCTGGTAGTTTTTCCTGCATCCAGGAAGCAATGACAGGGCACAGTATAGTTTGTGCACTTTTTCCTGTTGGCCATATTTTTACTTCAGATGCCACAGTGTGCTTTCCCTCCCTGCTGGGCACTGAATGTATATCTGCAGGTGAGCATATCTCCAAGAACTAAGAATTAGCCCTTTCAAAGATGTGCTTGAAATCCACAGTGATTTTGTAGTGAGAAACTGAAAATATGGTGTGCCCTCAAGTTAGGTATGTCCCTTCCACTTTTCTCTACTCCTGATTGTTCCCCTCCAGGCTCTTTTTCATGTTCTTAAAAGGGCCATTAGGTTGTGGGTAAATATGTTTACATATCGTATATTGCCTTAAATTCCTGTAGGAACAAAGATATGCTGTTATTGACACCATTACAGATCTAGTTAGGTATTTTACCTTGAGAAATAAATGCTTTAAGCACCATACTTCCAATAGAAATCCACCTAGGTCTCCCCTCCCCAATCAGGTATTATTTGAATTGGAAGTGCAGTTTTCATTTCATGGAAGCTCCTTTATCTACATAAGGTTGGGAGGTTTGCATGAGTTTCACAGAAAGAGCAAGAAGTTAGAATCTTCCTTCTTCAGTTAGGCTCATGCTCACCTTCAGTGGCTGCCAATAATTGAAAATTCATAGAGTTAGTAATTGTCATGCCTGCTGTAGTCCTAAGCAACCATTGTACAGAAAAGGTTATTTTAAAAATATATAGGTGCCCAGGTAGCAAATATTACAGCATTCATTGTCAAGCCTCCCAATTAAAATATAATATGGGTAATTGGGGAAAAATCTTACTACAGCTATGCAGATATTTTTTTTGCTGGTGGTATATATTATGATTTTTTTTGAACTGTGTGGAACTAAGTGAAATTGTTTTCAACTAAATGGGCTTTTCTCAGAAGAATGCTGATGTTTTAATATTGTTCCATTGTGATTATATTAATACATTTTTATTTTACTTGTATACAATTTTGGGATTTATGTTCTTGAGGGAAGCATATAAATTATAACAGTTACGTGTGAAATACTTTGTAGAAAAGATCTCAAGCCTTCCCTTTAGATTTGAATCCAGTCCCTTTTACAGGAAATAGTAAGATGTATAAGACAAAACATTAAGAGTGTATAATAAAAGATGAATTATTTTATGTGTGTGTTATACTTGCTAATATTTAAATCCACCAGTACATTTTCAGTTCTTCATTGAGCGTTCTCTTCATCCAGTTCCACACACACATTCGCCAAAGGCTGTGCCAAAGAAATCCAGTTTCTATATCTTTTTACATCAGCAAATTTTAAAAAGCAAGAAGCATTTGTTGCAGGAAAAAAAACATCAAAAATACTGAAAGGTTTTAGTTATATTCTGGAAAACTTATGCCACAATAAAAGTTTCATTCTTTAATATACCTCATCTTTGTTTATATTTGTTAATTTACTATGGTATCTTTCAAGATTCAGGATTTACATATTTACAAAATTTGCATTAAGCCGGTTGATGTTTAGAGTGCAGGGCAGTAAGTTTCAGTGGAAGCTGAAGTGCCCTATGAGGCAAACGTTTTCAGTGATCTTGTCCCTCTGGGGAGCATGTGACCCGACTGCTTCCCCCTGACATGTCAGTATGAAATTATAATATACAATGCCATATTGATTTCCTTGTACACAAGTGTTTCCAGAGATTATGCAGCAGATTGACTTGCAAGACCTAAGAATGCTTGTGTCATGCCTTCACTGTTGCCCTGGGATAGTTCTCAGCCTGGTTGCACTAGGTATCAGGTTTTTGTTTTTAACAAGCTATTTCTGAATTTTTAGTTTGCCATTAGTTGAATTCACAGATCTTGAGGGCCCATTGCAATGTTATTTGTACTGTTCCCTGTCAGTCATAGTTTCCATATATCACTGAATGTAATGACAAAATCAGCAATGGTAAAAAAGTAACAACGAAAAAAGCACATGGTTGCACAAGCAGATGGAACCATGAGATCTGAAGCATCATTGTAATTGAGTGATAATGAAGTACATGTGCAATAAAAGTTGAAAAAACAACTGTGTGTGTATATACTCACACACATATACATACAGTACATGTAAAATGGTATTCTGAATAATGTTTTTGTAACTGTACATGAAAGAAAGAAGGTGAAAGAAGAAAGTGCTAAAGCTGGGTTGCAGTTAAACATAAAAAAAACAGGATTCTGGCAACCGGACTGATTGACAACTGGCAAAAGAGGGAGAAAACATGGAGGCAGTGACAGGCTTCGTATTTCTAGGTGCAAAGATTACTGCAGACACAGACTGCAGCCAGGAAATCAGAAGACATTTACTTCTTGGGAGGAGAGCAATGATCAATCTCGATAAGATAGTGAAGAGTAGAGACATCACAATGGCAACGAAGATCCGCATAGTTAAAGGAATGGTATTCCCCATAGTAACTTATAGATGTGAGAGCTGGACCATAAGGCTGGCCGAGCAAAGGAAGATAGATGCTTTTGAACTGTGGTGTTGGAGAAAAATTCGGAGAGTGCCTTGGACGAGAAGTTCCAACCAGTCCATATTTCAGAAAATAAAGCCCTACTGCTCATTAGAGGGAAGGATATCAGTGGCAAAGATGAAGTACTTTGGCCACATTATGAGGTAACAGGAAAGCTTAGAGAAGACAATGATGCTGGGGAAAATGGAAGGAAAAAGGAAGAGGGGTCGACCAAGGTTCGGCTGGCAGGGACAAGAGACAGGGCCATCTCAGCGGTGTCCCCTCGGCTGTGGAATGCCCTCCCCAGGGACATTAGATCGGCCCCCATCCTTAATGTTTCTTAAATGTTTCGTAAAAGAGTTAAAACCTGGCTATTTGAGCAGGCTTTCCCAAATGCAGTGTAGCAGATAAGCTCTGATCTTGGAATGGTTGGACAACGCGACTGGATAATGATTTGGTAATGAAATGCGGAGGATTTATGATATTTTTATTGAGGTTATTATGTAGTGAATTTTAATCTATGTTTAAATGTTTTAGCTATTTTTATATTGTTATGGGCATCAAATTGTGCCTTTCTGTAAACCGCTATGAGTCGCCCCCGGGCTGAGAATGGCGGTATAGAAATATAGTAAGTAAATAAATAAAGAGTTATTGAATTGCATATGTGGTATTATATTTTTTTTTAATTTTCTTCTGTAAAAAAGAATAAACACAAATGTTTCTCTCCTTTAAAAATCCAATCTTCCCACTTCTTTTTATTCCTTAATCCAATTTGTCGTTGATCCACTCCTTTGGGCTTCATGCAAATCTACCATTTGTCAAATCCTGTGCTATTCTTTTCCATTTCTGGCCAAACAGCTTACATTCAGATAATATTTTGACTTCAGTATTTTAGCAATTAAATGTTGTGGCAGTCATTCAGATTGCTAGCCCTTATGACCCTATAGCCACTTGTCCTTCCATCAATTTCCTGGCTCAATCCGAACTGCTGGTGGACAAGACACTGCGGACCTACGTCTTTCTGGTTACTCCCCTTCACTCTTTGGCCTTACCACTTAAGCTGTTTTAAAACATCCCCAGGTGCATCTACATTGTAGAACAGGCATGTGCAAACTTTGACCCTCCAGGTGTTTTGGACTTCAACGCCAGGAGATCCTGGCCATCTTACCAACTGTTAGGAATTGTGGGAGTCAAATTCCAAAAGACTTTGAGAGCTGAAGTTTGCCCATTGATCTGTTCCACCTTCCATGACAAAGAACATCCAGCGTGCACTTGCTGACAAAGATGACAGATTCTTGCAGATCACAGTAAGAATTCCCTCACTGTCCAGCATGCCAGTCCTTCAGACTATGGATGAAAAACTGCCATAGCTACATTTCTATTGCAGGCCATGCCCCCAATTCTTAAAGGTTTTTTAATTTTGGAAATGACTTTAAATGCTCCTGCTGAGCATTTGTGACATGGGGGAGGCTGGCCATTTTAGCCGAAGAGCAACTTCTTTTTTAAAACAGAACTAGCCGTCCCCTGCCACGCGTTGCTGTGGCCCAGTCTGGTGATCTGGAAAATAAAGTAATGAGAAAGTATTGATTTCTAATATATTTATTTGTTTGTTTGTTTATAGAAATACTGTAAATAAAATAAATGAATTTCTAATATATGTAATTTCTTTCTGCAACTAGAAATACAACAGTATTTCTTGTTGTTTCTTTGTCAGTGTTGATGTGGAGAGTGTCTGGTTTGCCTACTCTGGAACATGCAACATATAATTGTCCTTTAGGGCTCCCTTTCAAATCTATGATACTATTTCTGTGTGTGTGTGAATTATATCTATATCTATGGCTGGATGGCTCTTTGTCAGGAGGGCTTTGATTACGTTTTCTTCCCCTGGTGAAGGGAGTTGGACTGGATGGCCTTAAGTATGCCGAGGCGGCCCTCACAGGAGCGGCTCAGGAGTTCATGTCTGCCATGGCAACCATGGGGCTGTCCCAACAAGTATCTGGTCCCACCCACTGTGCTGGACATACATTGGACTTGGTTTTCTGCCAGGGATGGGAGGAAGGTGGCGGTGTTGAGGAGTTGACCATCTCTCCGTTGCCATGGACCGACCACTTCCTGGTCAGATTTAGGCTCACTGCACCCCCTAACCTCTGCAGAGGTGGAGGACCCATTAAGTTGGTCCGCCCCAGGAGGCTTATGGATCCGGATGGATTCCTGATGGCTCTTGGGGAGTTTCCCGCCACCTCGGTAGGTGATCCTGTCGAGGCCCTGGTCACTCTCTGGAATGGGGAGATGACTAGGGCAATTGACACGGTTGATGCCCTGGTGACTCTCTGGAACGGGGAGATGGCCAGGGTAATAGACACGATCGCTCCGGAACGTCCCCTCTCAAGTAGCCGAGCTAAACCAGCTCCTTGGTTCACCGAGGAGCTGGCAGCAATGAAGCGAAGGAAGAGGGAACTAGAGAGTGTGTGGCGTTCGGATCCGAGCGAGCCAAATCGAACACGGTTTGTGTCCTTTTTAAGGGCATATGCCGCGGCAATAAAAGCCGCAAAGAAACTTTCTTTGCGGCCACTATTGCGTCTGCAAAGAACCGTCCGGCGGAGCTGTTCCGGATTGTCAGAGGCCTGTTAAATCCCGCCACTCTAGGTGGGAACCCTGACAATTCGGCCTCTCGCTGTGAAGCTTTTGCTCAGTTCTTTGCAGACAAAGTCGCTTTGATCCGTTCTGGGCTGGACACCATATTAAATGCAGTCACTGAGGATGTAACACGAGCACCTGCTTGTCCTATTTTGATGGATTCATTTCAATTGGTGAAGCCCGAGGATGTGGACAAGATACTTGGAGGAATGAGGCCTACCACGTCCATCCTAGACCCCTGCCCATCCTGGCTTCTAAAGGAGGCCAGAGGGGGATTGGCTGAGTGGGTTGAGGTGGTGGTTAAC